ACAACAAAGTTCTAATATATGGAAATTCAATTTTACCTTATTAAATGTTACTTCTCTATTGTACCTGTCTATTACTAAAAAAAACTATTAATACAACAAATATTTACTATTAAAGGAACCTCTTCTGTATTAACTCGGTGATTACTCTTTTTATTACTTTATTGACTATTTCAAAAGTAGGTACGTATTCTGGTGTTGAATTTCCAAGTTTTTTTTTACACGGTAATTAATAAAATTATTCCAAGTTATAAAATTATACTTCAATTAATACACCTAGTTTAATTAGCAAGGTTTGACATGTGTTTCTAATGAACAATGTTGCAATGTCACGAACATTTGCTTTCTCAATCAACTATTGGACTCGAAAGTACTTAAAATACTTGCAAATCAATTTCAATAAACTATCATAAACTCTTTGTACAAAAACGTATATTAAAAAGAAAACCTAAAATATTCAAGTATCAAGTTTCACGTTAAAACTTCTTTTGTTAGATTCAAGTATGTTTATTTTGTTTAATGATTGGCCGGCTTTTGAACGGCAGACAGTCTACCAGGCCGGTCGCATGACAAAATTCTTTGGTGTTTCTAAAAATGTTCGCAACAATGACAAAACGTTAAAAAAATGTCGTGTAACTTTTTCCCCTTACATGTCGCACAGTGAAATATTTGAAACGCAATGCACGCGACCGTGTCTGGAGAATTCATTTGAATAGAATTGCGTTTGTGGTATAATTTTAAACATTCTGTCTGGTTCTTTATGAAATATTATATAATTATCGAAATTACTCCAGTTTAATGGACTTTTAAAAATACCTTTAGTAGTAATTCAGATTATATAAAAATAAATTATTTTTGGTCGAGGTAGGTTTATGCTTAAAATTATTTCATTCAATAAATTAATTATATAGAACTTAAAAGTATTCATACGTAATTATAATTTCTGCATGTAAAAAATGATAAGAAATTCAAAATATGTTGATAGCAAGTTCATTAAAAAAATTTCATCAGTAATCAATTTCAGTAAAATTTAAATGAGTCGGCACCGATCATCGAACAAGATCAAAAATTAAATTATCATTCTGTACCAATACAAAAGAATAATTCTGACTTGAGCCTATTGATATACTTAAGCATGTTGCTTATTATTTTAAATATTTATATTATCTCTTTAATTTTATATTAAATTCCATTTACATCTATTTATCGAATGAGACGTGTAAAAATCTCACTGCATAATAATAATATTACAGATATAAAAAAAGTATAATAAAGGAAGTAAGCTTATTATATTTTAAACAAGTTTGATGAAATGTTAAATTAAATATTAACTTTTTTTTTTTTTTTTTTTTTTAATGTCTTAAGTAATAACGAACAAACAGAATACAGATTTTTTGCTCTATATATTTTTCTATGTATTTAAAATACCTTTTAAAATATGTTTATGGTCTAATTTTCAAGATATAATTGACCGAATAATAAAATTTAATAATTCTGTTTTTGAAAATTAAATACAACTTATTTTTCTTGCGAATATGTTAAATTCCAAAATATTGTTTTCAATTTTTCGTGTATTATTTCAAATAAGAAATCAATAAATAAATAATCAATTTCAAAACACCCTTCTAAATTTTTATTAAAAGAAAGAAAATGATAGCATATTTTAATTTTTTCTCTACGTCAGATATACCTAAGCTCAGATAAGTACACGCAAACCATAAACTGGAAATTTAAACGAAAACTATTGTTAAAACTGCACCAATATCAGTGTATATGAGTATCAGTGTAATATGTGCTGTACAAAAGATAATAGTGTGCAAATGTAGAGATGAGACGACTTTCATACACGAGATTTTCTTATCTTCAATCTCGTTTCAGCGGATTGTCATTTCCTCTAGGTAATCCTAAAGACTAAACTAACGGTGAGAGTGCAATTGTGGACATGTTAGAAGTCATTTATTTTATACCATTAATGTCAGGCGAAATGCCATTTATACTGTTACTGTCGTCGTCGTTGTGTGTGACGAATAAAAATATAAATTAATAGAAAATGAACTGAAAATAGGAAAATAAGAGTTATAGAAATCAATTTGTTATTAACAAACTTATATTTTTTCAATCAACGACACTATCAGAACACGCCATTTTGGTTTCCATTATATGTTTGCTTCCTAACTAAATAATTACAGTGTATAGAGTTAAATTTTTATGATTTTAATCTTTGACATTCCATAGACCATATTTTCGTCAAACGGTATTTTGACCGAATCGTAATTTAGTTGAACAGCATTTAAGCTAAACTGTATTTTAATCGAAAAGTATTATAGACGAAATATACTCATCGAAAATAACTAAACCGAAAATTATATTTATTTTATTATTGAATAGATAAACTTTTATTACTAATGAAATTGAGCTAATTAATTAATCTTAAAAAATACATGTGTTTCAACAAGTATTTTGTAACTTACAGTGACACTTCATTTCTAACTTAACTTAAATTTTTTTTTTTTTCATACCAATAAATCAATTTTAGAAGACACGCTTTTTAATTTAATAATAGCTATAAAGGGAATATATGGTTCAACTATTATCTAATTTTCACAAGAAAAATGAAAATGTCAGCGCTAGGAAAATTTCTTTTTTTAACGGAACTAATTCTGTTCCAAGTTCACGTTTTATAATAGGAACGCGATCCATATCCAGTCCCACTACAAAAAAATTTTTTCTCCTTTTCGTTCTTATTTTGTTAAAAACATATTTAATACCCAGCTTAATGTTGTAATATTAATATTATAAAATAGTTTAAATGTATAAGGTACTTTTAATTATCCTATGCATACTCGAAAATTCAAAAAAAAGGTATAAAAGATCTAACTCAATTTTTTCTGTCCTAAATTTTAATGTAATTTTCAATGTTTCTTTTTTTGTGGGGGGTTGCAACAGAATTAAACTCTCTAGACCGTAGACACACCTATTATCATGTCCTCTCAAAGACATTACGTTTTAATTATAATAATTAGTGTAATACCATTAAAAACTTTATTAATATTTAATTATTATATTGAAATAACAAAATCATGATAGCGTAATGGATACATAATACATATATATATACTGCCCTCCTAAGCCAAAAGGCAGTAAGCAACAATGTAGTAGTCTGAGAAAAATAACTTTTTCTGAATCATCTTGTTATTTTTATCACAATGTTAAAATAAAATAATAAGTAAATGATTCTTAAATAACTTTTTCAGTAGAATCCAATAAAATTTTTATCACGATGTTATATTTTGATATTAATAAACTCATTTTTCAAATTTTGTCGCTTACTGCCTTTTGGCTTAGGAAGGCAGTATAATTAGAGTAAATAGAATTTATAGCAAAAAAATATATTTATATGATTAAATATATATGATTAATCTATTTATAACTTTTATTAAAAACAATTAGAAACAAGGAAAAATAAATTATAGAAACACTAAAATTTAACAGAATAGGAAAATTCGTTAATGTTAAATTAATTTTTTGACAATTTTTATTGTTACATATGTTTTTACATCTTTAAAACTAATTACTACTAATTTGATCACACCTTTAATACTAATTGCTACAAATTGATACTAATTTTTTCACACATTTAACACTAATTGCTACAAATTGATACTAATTTTTTCACACCTTTAACACTAATTGCTACAAATTGATACTAATTTTTTCACACCTATAAAACTAATTGCTACATATGTTTTATTATTTAAAACCTAAACACAATAAACCGAAAAATGTTAATTTATTGTCGTATTTCAAATATAAGTAAATTTTTTGTGGAAAAATATAAATTTACATAAATGTTAAGAGAGGTACATTATGTAATGGGACAAGTGTTGCTTTCCAGCATCTCAGCTCAGTTCTTCGTGTGAACTTTATAGCTTCATTCATATCACCGTATGTTATACATGAAATCTATTGTTAATTAAAAAGAAAAAGTTAGTCTATTAAAAATTTTCGTCTTAATTTTTTTATGTATCACTAAAACCAATCATATATTTTATACACATCGTTTTAAATTTCTATAAATTCCAAACCAATTTACACGCATTATTATTTTTTTTGTAATTTTACTTTTTTACAGCTTTATCTCAATATCATAAAAAATCGCAAAATGTTAAATATTTAATAAAAATATCTCTCAAATGTAATAACCGAGGTTATGTCTGTATCGACTAGATTTGCCGGAAACGTTTTAGATTCCGATTGAATTTCATAGAAATGCCATCAACAAAGATTCCAATTTTTATTGTATAGTTTTTTGTCGTGGGGTCCGAATTGTGGTGAAGTATGCCATTACTTTTTTATATATATGAAAGTGCCATCGAACTGCCGATCCGAATAGGTTAGAGTAATATGTTGACTTGCATTATTTGCTTTTGATAAAAACAAAATGAATAAATATGTTTATACGGTTCGATAACTAAAACATTAATATCTAAGAAATAGGATGTGGCGTTTTTGAGACTAAAACCCGTTAACAGACTGCGTGACGATATTGCGCTTGGCTGGTTGATTTTATATGTATTAGTGTTTATAATATGCGGAGTGTCCCATTCTGTTCTAACAATTTCTATAACTTTTGATCCGCTGAGTATACGTTTTTTAATTAGTTTTTACATTATTATGCAAAGTTAAAATCATACATCTTTAGTATTTGTCTCTAATAAGAAAAAATAAAATAATAAGGTATACAACGACGTCCTGTATGCCTAGTATTAAGTAAGATTAGCCATTTTGCTCGTAATGGAACCAAGAATGACCTCGTACATCACCGTCAACCGTCCGCTTGGAAAAAGTCGATAAGATCGCGTCCGCATTGATGGGGTAGCCTAGGCAAAGGATTGTAAAATTCAACTGTCAACACCCTAAAAATAGTGCTGACCTGGGTTTTTATTCGATTGTATTACTTAACGCGGCAAAGCTGTTTGATAAATTATTGTTGTGCGTTTCAGGAGTATTGGAATTCGACACCCCCCGGGTTCAAACTACTAAAGAACACGAAGATTACTTAATCAGTTGCAAAGTCAAGGGCAATGTCAAACCAACCTTTATGTGGACATTCAAGTCGCTGACTATCAAAGAGGGCACCAAAAGTAAAATAAGCCGTTCATCGTTTTTTCAATACGATGTCTTAAACGCGCCGTCGTTTTCAGGCGGAAAGTATTCGGTTGAAGAGGATGGGCTACTGGTTCGCAACGTTTCGCATTTAGACGCTGGCAAATACACGTGCAGAGCATTCCAAACGACCGACGATTCCAGCGTATCCGAAGATACCGAGATCGATTTGGTAGTCAAGCGTGAGTAAACATCATTGTCTGATGTAAAGAAACGCTTATTTTTATCCCGTTGTGATGCGAATCGTTTCCTTACTCAGCGTTTGAAATCAAATATGTTGGTAAAACTCACTGTAGATCGTGTAATCTAAAAAATTTAAAACTATTTGAAATTAAAAGTCAATATTTTCAGTGACCAAATAGAAATTTGATTGAAAGACCAAACGAAATTTTTATCTATAGCAATTATTTTCTTTTGATACACATTCAACAATTATACAATTTGTAACATTATACAATTTTAATACATCAATAAATTTCTCATTCAACTTGGAGCTGCGTATTCTAATATACTTACATTATTTTAACGACTTGTATTTAATTATTTTACTTTATCTGAATCCAAAAAATAAAAAGAATGTTGTCAAAATAATATAAAAACGATTTTTTTTATAATTTCTGTATTTTATAAATTTAGACAAGCCAGTATTCTTGGAACTTATGGAAGGCAATCCCATTAAACAATACGTTTTCTCTTCGGAATCCGCCAACCTAAGCTGTCAGCACTCTGCCGAACCGTCGGCCAACGTGACTTGGAGTTTTAACGGGAAAACATTTCTAAATTCATACGACCATTACATAGTATGTACAAAAACAATTTGTTAAAAACATAGTACAATCTAAAAACAGAACATTAGAACAAATAATTTACAACAACAATTGCAGGTTACCTTTAATAAACCAGAAAAATTGGGCTTGTACACGTGCACGGTCTCAAACTCCTTAGGAACAATTACCAGACGATACAATTTAATAGAAGGATTTAAACCGAAAACGCCTCGTGACCTGTCCATTATAAGGGTTGGTGACAATTACATTGAGTTAACAATTAGCCCAAATGACAAGTCGGATGAATTGGTCGGATACAGGGTTGAGTATACCGAAAAAGTGGTGAAACACAACTCATTAACTTATGAAAGTTTTAATATTATGAATTTCAACACTACTGAAGGTACAATAAACTTATTCATTTACTTAACCAATTTCTGATTTAGTGCTATAATAATATATTTTTTAATTTTACAAACGTAATGTATCAGTTAATATTAGCCACATTGCTAACTACTTAATTAAAAAAATTATCAAAACAAGTAACTCTTAGTTTTATTTCCTCTTACAGGTCCATTTGCTCTGGCTTATCTGAAACCTAACACAGAGTACACAATCAAAATATTAGCCAGAAACAATGCAGGAATTAGCGAATTTACTGAACCCATCACTGTACGAACGCTTGCAGCTGCTTCTGATGGTATATTGTCTTGTAATACTTGTAATTATTTGCTGTTTAACGCAATAATTATAGTAATCAAAATAGCTTTACTGTAATTGAAATATTGTGAAAAATTGTTTAATTTTTATATTTTGTGAGTTCTTTTCTGTTTGAATTACAAAGAATTTCAGAGTAACCTAAAAATTATTATAACCATTAATAGTTTACTCCGATTGGCCTTTGTGTATAAAATAATATGTGTATTATTATTATTTTCCCTGACTAGTCTTTATTCTTATTGGAATGTAAAACCAAAAAATGGCATTAAATCAAAAAAAAAACATTTAATGCCTACAAACACTGCGTAAACCATTAAATGTACAAAATAAATATTGAAACCATAACAGCGTTTTGCTTATTGAATTGATATTCAACGCTGGCTTACAGATCATCACTTAAAGATTTTGCTTTTAATCATTATAAATATTAAGCATTCTTAACATGTTAACCTAAATTTTGCTTAAGTGATCCTAATTTTTAAGTATTTTAATTTTTTTCAACTAAAATAATTATTAAGTACCGCTTTGTTTTTTATTTTTAAATCTACCATTGGCGTCCTTTTTATAGATTATTTTATTATTATTTATCTAAAGTTTATAGAAATAAATAAATATATAATATGTTATTGTAAATATAATTATATAATAAAATATATTATTATAATATAGGAACTCTAGAGGCTAATTTAGTTATTATATGAAAGCCTTTTTCGACTGATCGTTGGTTTGATGTAATTTTTAATTTTTGAGTATTATTATTATAATTATGAATGTCAATCGCGTGCAAGGTCACTAATGTACTACTGAATGAAGTATAAATAATACGATTTGAAACGTATCAAAGGTAATTATAAATATATTGTAATTATATTATAACTATCATTAATATTTTGTAGATATGCAACTATAAAATTTTATTGATAAATTAAGATGGCTTTATTCTAATAAATAAAAAAATGTCTGAATTTGTAAATTTGTTTTTTTGTATTTCATTTATTAAGGTTTTACATAAATTATGACTTCTAAGAAAATCATCATAGCCTGACGAAGTAACGGAATTTTATATTTACCACTTAATTAGTCTGTCGTGAAAATTTTGTTTCATTAACACTTTCAAAAATATATATACAGCTTTTTTTTTTAATTTATTGTAGTTATTGCTATATTTTCACGGATGTACATCCGTTTTTTTTTTTTTTTTACAGTTAATTGGCCGTTAGCTTAAAATCCATCAACTCAAATTACGCTACATAATTGAGATAATTAATTAAAATAAAAATTTTTCTAACAACACATTTTATGGGGTAACTTTATACAACCAACTTTGAGAATTAGTCTTCGTCTTTATAAATAAAAATGAATCATTTTTATTCCTTACTTAAAAATTGTTGTTAACCACTTTTGGGCGGATACTTCAGCAGTTGACAGGCAAAAAAATAGGGCGTGTTTCGGAGTAACAAGACTATATTTATCTTTGCTCAAGACTCAAAAGGATTCAAGTACAAGTTCTTTATGAATACGACTAGGTACTCGATTTTAAAACGATTTAAGTACATTTTCGACTTTTCAAGAACTGATCAATAAATCGCCAAAGTTCTTTAAAAATTTACTTGAACAACAAAATAAAATAACCATAAAATATAATGAACACAACTACGTTACAATATAATAATGCACATTAGAATTTTTTTAATTTACTTAGTTTTTACAATCTATACTTTTATCACTAATATCATGGTCAATAAATAAAAGTGATTTTAGTTAAATTTTATTAGCCTTTCAAAGAAAGTTTTTAATTTAATAACTCTCCCTTATAATGGATACTTATATCATAAGAACAACAATATAGTTTAGGGTTAAGCCAGTGTAGTCATTTAATTTACTGTGCAACAACAAAGGGGTATGTTACAAAAAGTTTTTGTTGTTGAACTTAATTTTTTTTTCTATAAAATTAAATTCTCTTATTTTTTTTAATGATGACAATATAGTAAAAATATTTTCCTTTAAATTAACTTCAATGATCTATAAAACAGCGCTTTATATAGATAAAAAATTATTAAATCATTTGTTCCCAATAGTTGATTTTTAATATTTAGAGTTATGTGTCTTTAAACTGAATTCATTGTTAAAACTTTATTAATTCAATTTTTTAATATCCTACTACTTCAATAAAAGTCTGAAATTATAAAATATTTCTTAAGAACATAATAAACAGCACTTAGCTATCATGTTAACTTTTATCATCGCTAAATAAAATTACTTTTTGGCAATTTTATCAACGTTTATACTTCTAAAGTTTAAAGTACGTAGTATTACTATCATTAGACAAGACACATGTGTTATTTATGTTTGATTCATCATTTCAGTTTTGAGCTGCTTTAATATAAAGACGCGCTGTCCAGAATACGAAACTGAAATATATTTTGCCATAAAAGTACATAAACCTCACCACATTTGGCAGCTAATCCAAACTTTAACCGTATCGATAGAACGCTTATAGCAACCGCAATGACGCAGTTTTAGTTTCACTAATAAGAAATCTTTTCTGTAGTTTTATAAGCTAATAATATCTTTCAAATTTGTAAACTTAATGTGGTTATTATTACCAAATTTGTTGACTTTTGAAATTGATTCATCCACTTCAGTGGATGCAATTACAAAGTGCACAATTTTTGGAGAAGGATGTTTGTGTATCATATCCCACCATAACAAAAGTTATCATATATAGCAAAAAAACAATTTTTTTACGTTTGGAGGGAGAGGCAAACATTTTTGTATGTACATCCCACTGTAAGACGAAACCCTAATAACTGCATTGAATTAGACATTATTTTTTTTTTAACATATAGAAATATTGATTTATAATTAACCACAAGATTTCTTCTAAAATAATAATAATTTCATTATTTATCAATTGATCTAAGGATGGATTAATATTTTTATTCCTTATAAGGAAACTAACAAAAGTTGTGTTGACCAAACATTTTCTTAGTTAGATCTAAGAAAAATCAAATAAATTTTAACTGATAAAATTTATAATTCAGAAATGTAAATACACAGTTAAAAATTTGATTAGTTAAAATATGGCGATGATCTTTATATTTTTAAAGAGTACTATTTCCTTACCAACCAAATAAATTAAAAATAAAAAGAGAAAATTTTAAAATATGTGTATTTACTCACAAATACTTTTATGTTATAAAAAAGTAAGTCATGAATAGATCAGGTCAAATACTTTCTCGAAGATATTATTTTGTAACCACCCTAAAAATATTGAAGTGCGTTCTTATGAAAGTACTTCATGTCACTTTAATAATTGAATTATTTGCATGTATTTGTATTAAATTTTCAATAGGTGCCCTTATAATTTACTCTATTTTTTTACAAATAGAAACGCAAAAGACTCGATAAATAAAAAATAAAACTTAAAAATTTTAATTTTTAATTTTCCTGCTTTGTATTTCTAGACCTCTTGAATTTTATGATTGAAAATAGTTAGAATAAGTCAGTTTATAAAGGTCACAATGTCACTTGATCTAGAACATGCGCTTAGTGTTTGGAACAAATAATATATGACATACGAACTATACATGAATGGTTTAAATACGGTAAAAAGATATAACGAATATTATTTTGCGGTCACGTATTGTGCCAAATTACACCTCTTATTTGTATTTATTGTTTTATTTTTAATGTCATGCCTACAAGTTTTGGTATAAAGCCCAAACAACGAGCAGAATTTTTTCAAGCAGCCGGATTTGGCAGTATATTCTATTCTTTGATACTAAATATTTGTCGGCGACAGGTCAATTAAACTTTTCCATGTGAAAGAAAGTAAAATAATAGATTTATTTATTCATTTCCTATGATTAATCGGTCAAAACACTATTAAAGGTCGTCATAAATAAAAAGAAAAATGTATCTATTTTAGTGCTTTATATAAATTATATAGAGCACTAAAATAGACCTTTACTTATTATTAAAATACTCAAGACTGTGTTGACGAATCTGATTGATTTTCCATTTTTGCAGGTCGATTTCAAATAAGACTGTATTTTTTATGAGAAACTCTTAGGTATACAAAGTTTACTGTTGACTTAAACGAAAGCAATCACTTTATTTGCTTATGAAATCTTTTTTTAACAAATCCATCTTATAAATTATACATAAATTAAAACTGAACAAAGAGGGACTTTGCCTTATTAACCTCTTTATATATATTGCTAATCAAACTTATTCCTTTTTTCCTTTTTAACACGCTTATATTAGTTTTTAGTAGATCATAACCTATTTGTAATAAAATAAGTGGTTCATTCTACGTTTGAACTACATAATATATATAATTTTGTTAATATCATAACAATAATGAACGACTGAAGTGTAAACCTATAAGTGAAATGTATTTCTTATTTGGTAACACATTAGTTTGATATGTTTATTATTTAACTTCTGCTTAATATAAAAGTACGAACTTCCAAAGTGCGTTAATTAAAATTATCAAAAGACTAAAATAACTATTAATCTCACGAGTACGTCCAAGAACAAGTTCAAACATAATGCAGATATCTTTAATAAGTAACTTCACAAAATATATACGGTAACAGTAGTATAAGACAGTGATGTAACTACAATGGTATGCTACTCCCATAAGGACAAAATCCTAGTTATGTATACTGTTAATTTTTGTATTTTAAATAATTTCTAAATTAATAAACTTTAACCTTTTATAAAGTTTATTATTTTTTATTATACATATGATAAATAGTTCTTGAACATTCTTGACATACTTCATTGAATTTTAATTATAACAATGTTAGTAATTTAATTACACTATAAAAAAACTTCAGGTACTGAAAAAGATAACTAATTAATAATAAAATTGAAATAATTTAAAAATGTTTAAACTTAAATAACTAAAATATAAATGAATTAAAAATCACACCACAATAGGGTCGCGACATAGTTGGAACAAGAATGATATCTGACAGTGATAAATATCACAATTTTAAAAAAACGCCGCTTTGACACAAATCTGTTAAATTTCACAACAGTTTATATATTTGTAATTTTATAATTATTTTGACAGCCGGTATTCTCATAGTAAAACATCGTAAGATGGTTTTTTATTTTATTTTGTAGTACACTTTAAGATGTGGGTTAGCAACTAAAGTAACGCATCTCACTTCAAAGTCTTTAATTTGATATAAGTTAAAAGTTGTCAGACGTACCGGAACATTTTCGAAAATTGAGTTTAAAAAAATGTTTCATGCGTGAGTGGTCATTTAAAGCTTTCCTGAACTTAAGTTTTTCATTGAATTTTCATAAAAAGCACACCATAAGAAATATTATCGTCTTAAAAATATTTCATTAAAATTTCATTATGATCACTGCTTAAAAAAAAATTGTAAAGTTTTTAAATAAGAATAATAATTTTGGAAATGTCATTTTGTACAATAGCATAGTTTTGAGATATTTTTTAAAAATTTTAAAATTCATCAGGGATTTAGTAATTTTTTTTTAAATTTTTGGCATATAAACAAAAAAAAATGGATCCCGTGAAAGCTGAAAATTTTCATAGACATAAAAAAACACATGTTAAAAGCAATACCTTCTCAGATTTGTATTGAAGCTGAATATCTCTAATAATTTGTATCCGATAAATAGTTTTATTGAAATACATAGAATATTGTATATGTCTATTATTTAATATAGAACTTATTTTATTTTGAAAATATATATTAAGTACTTCATTTGGATTACACGGTAACATTTTGAATTTATGTTAACATGGTAAAACGTGAAAATTTTACTGTAATATATTACTCAAAATTTATTGACGGTAGAACAAAGGCAGAAAATCGTTCAATGAGACTTTTGAGTAATAATTCTCGATTAAATCACTTTTCTATAGACCGCATGGACGTTTTAATAGTGATGCCAAATGGTGTTTGAATTTACAATCTAACACATTTTTCAATTATAATACTTGCTGAATTAATATTACCATGCGATACAACTAAAACAAGCTTTTCAAATTAGCTTACCAAATTTGTATGTTTATTATATTTCATACTTTTATTGTTGGTGCATATAAACTATATTTATAACTAGTACCTAAAAAAGAATCACGGTGAAAATATTAATACTAATTATTAAACTGTTAAACTATAATAACACTTTATTTTAAAAGTTATTATAATAAATATAAATAAATACCAGTCACATAACAATGAGAGCAGTGGTGTATTTTGAATGATTTCTCGGGGGGTGTCCAACATTTAATGAACCTCACAAACAAAAATTGTAAAAATGTTTATAGACGTAAAAAAAACTTACTATTTTTCAAATTACTGTATTGGGAATTGACAAGTAATTTGAAATTTGAAACTTAAGTATATGTCATAAAAAAGAAAGTAAAGGATATTAATTATAATAATAAAAAGAATGAAGAGATGAAGGAAATAAAATAATTGGCTATATGTGTGATATTTATATTTTTTATAATTAAGAAAGAGGATTAATAATAGAATATAGATGTTATATTACTTAATACTGATAAGTGATAACCAACTTTTTTTTTTTTAATTACTTTTTAAATTGTTGTGAAGATACAACGATATTAAGATCTATTTTAATATTTCATGATCTTTATTTCTTATATTTTTATATTTTAAAGATTATAGTAAAATTAACAATTTTTGAACTTTAAAACTAAATTTATAATATAAGATCTAAGCGTCTCTTCTTTTTACTTAGATTATCAATTACTTCACTGGTATCAATGCAAACTTCTATGTTAATGGCTAGCATAGCCAAACCATTAAACCGCCCCTGTATTAAAAAAAAAAAACTTAAAAAATCATAATTATAAAATAATAAATTAACCAATATTAATTTACTTGTGACATTGTGTTTCGCAAGTATGTCTTTATTCTTTTCAAATTAGAAAACGACCTCTCATTAGATGCAGTTGATACTGGTAAAGTTGCAAAAATCTGTAAGAGTTTAAATACATTTGGATAAATTTGGCTATTGCATAAAACTATTGCTTCCATGGCATTTCTTGGTGTATTTGATGATTTAATACTTTCTAAACGTCTTTTCCATAATTTGAATTCTGCCAGTAACACAGATTCTTCGCATTCATTTAAGTCAAACATATACAATTGTGCCAAACGTAAAAAGTGAACTTCATTTTCGTCTGTTGAAATTAATGATTTGAAGTGCAATAACAACATTTTTTGATTAACAAACCTTAAATTTAGTTGATCTATAAATGTATCTAAGAAAGGAATAAAAAAAGCAACTCGAAAATAAGACTCTTGTGAATTTGTCTTCCTATAATACGTGGTTTCATTATTATTAAGTAAATTGTAGAGAAAATATCAGTAATGAATTTACAGGAAGTCCTGGAGATCTGAATATTCCCCCAAAAGAAATATCGAAAATCCGCCACTAGTAAATTTGCAATAATTCAATTGACTATTGGCATTCAAGGAAATTGAGATATTTATTTAGATATGATTTTCCTTTTATTTAAATAAAATGATTTTTTTAGAAATTTAAAGAATCTAATTTATGTTTTTCGTTTCTATTTGTTACTAAAAAGTATGTCTCATAGACATTTTCGTTGAAAATTGAACACGCAATCAACAAATGTTCCTTAGGCTACATAAGTCAAAACATATCCATGCAAATGTTTTACTTTAATTTTATAGTTAGTTAGAGTTAGTTTGAGTAAAAATTATTCCGTATTTTTTTTTTTGCATTTTTAATTAAATATGATGGTAAAATATAATGAATAATAATTATTTTTTTAAATAAAAAAAATAATTTCACTAATTTTTTCAAGTCCTTTTTGTAGTGTTGGGTTAATTTTATTTATTTTTAATTTTGTAAGTAAAATGCAAATTTTGACTGTTATTTTAGTGACATAAAAGTTTTACATTGGATGTCAGTCATCTAAAGAAATTTAAACATTATTTTTAATACTAATAAAGGTACAAAAATCACCATAATATATATTACACTTTTTTTAACATAATCTATATTGAAAATCATAAAAATGTATTTATAACTTTTAAATACTGTAAAAAATTAATTCCTGTAAGAGCAAAATTATTTTTAAAACAGAAAAATACCAGAAAAATTTTAACTACTTCTCATAAACTTATAAAAAATCTAGTAACATTTTAATTCAATTATAGCTAAAACTTAGTACCATGTTACACTTAAATATACTACGGTAATAACTTTTCCTTTTAACTAATTTACAAAGAGTAACTCAAATTAAAATACAAATGTATAAATATAATTTATTACTGGAGTAATTCTTATACAGAAAAGAAGCATGCAAAGGTTTTGACATTAATTTTTTTAACGAATTTCATTGCATTTAATTAGAATTGTAATTAAATGAAATATTTCTAAAAAAAAAAAATGTTTGAAAGTACATATAAAATCAGTATATCTAATATGTAATTTAATTTTCCAATTTACAAATTTTAGCTTCGATGCGAAGCTGAGAAGGTATTAATTTTACTATGATGTGTTTTTTTTTTTTTTTTTTTTTTTTTTTTTT